CCCCCCCCGACTCGTCGAGAGACAGCCTTGCCTCGGCGGGCATCGCCTGGCGCTGTTCCCAAATCACACAACATCCTGCTCCTATCCACGAAGAGCCATCGTCAGCCAACCTCCCCGAGGCATTGCAATGCGGCTCCGTGGACCGCACAATTAGAGTCAGGCCGGCTGCTACTTTCATCAAATGTCGGGGCGCATCGCGGTTCGCTACCTGCGCAGAAGACCCCACGCGTTGGTCAACGAACGCAACACTCCGTAATGTGTAACGTTTCGGGCAACGGCCCGCTACCTGCGCAGAAGACTCCACACGTTGGTCAAGGAACGCAACACTCCATAATGTGTAACGTTTCGGGCAATGGCCCCTTCTTTAAATACACACAGAGAAGGTGACGATGCGGACAATGGTTCCCGCTTATTCATAGCACAAAGAATATCGCCTATTGTCCGTTGCTCTTAAAGCCACGGTCTCATGAATGAATGTGTTAAGTTCTGTTTAACACCTACGGTAGGAGGCTTTTGAGACCACTAGTATCCATAATAGAGGTTTTTTTTGGTTAGAAACGTCGTGCTCCAATTGTAAATGTTGTGGGGTCCATCGCCAACACACTGGTGTGCTGTACAGGCAACGAATTGGCATGTTTTATTTACGTGACGACCCTTACTAAATGGCTCTGTCGGGTGGTGGCGGGTTTAACGACAAATTTATATTTGCGCGATCTAACCCAAAGAAAACCCACCTGTACTGTGGCTTTTTGAGTTCTGTTTTTGTGCAATTGTGATCGTACATCACTGCCAACGCAGCAGCAATCCCAAGACAATTTATACCTCGTGTGTGTGTTGAATTTATTTCGCAACGTACGTAGGCAACCGTGCTTATTCATCACACACCTGCGTCTGATATACAGTGCAGGTGTGTGATGAATTGAGGACGCCAGTCACCATATTGGTTGACCTGTGCACGTTTGTAAATCGTGGTTTACATTGTTTGAAAGCAAGCACAGTGGTAACAAATAACACGATATATGAAGCATGTACAGCCGCTTATGTCAATCCACAGCTGGATGACGGCCTCCCCACACCGCATCGGTCATGCTTCACCGTTCCGGTGAGTTGCGGGTTGCTGAAGGGGATGGGGTTCAGAGCCAGTGCAGACATCACGAGCCACTGATGGCAGCCGTGGCTGGGAATGTAATTGAGGCCAGAAGATTTTAAGAGCAGTGCGCTAATCACTGAACCATCCCTCTTCCTTTAAAATAAAATAATCTTGTAAGTATTTACCTTCGAAATAGCTTTTCGGTCAATTGATGGTTGCTGTTCAAACAAATTTAAGATGTCTGTAAAATGAAAGTGGAGTGTAGCCTGAGAAACTCTACAGGCCAGGAGATCACGCAAACGCCACCGCACACCACGGATCCAAGTCTATCCTGAACCTACTTGCTGCACGGCCACCTACAGGCACCATTTGGTTTGTCCTGCGGCTGCGTGTCTCGCTCTTGCCACAGCAGCCGCGTCTTTGTCAACTGAAGCTCCTGACACGCGGGGGCGAAACGTCGGGACGTCGTGGGGCGCCGCGGTGGCGAGGAGATGTTAACTCCCTCGCCTGGTATACAGGAGATCGTGGGCTCGATCCCGACCCTGACGCCTGTTGTATATTCGGAGTTTGCGTGTCTCTCTCCCCACGGTCGCGTGGATTTTTCTCCAGGTCCTCCGGCTTTACTCTCCACATTTAGAAACATGCATTTAGAGTATTTGTTGGCTTAAAGTTCCACGTGATCAGCCACTTCGTTGAGCTATCATTTGCGGTCAGGTCGCTTCTGAAAAAAAAAACAGCTGCATAGCTCAGTGAGCCTTATTTGATAAAATAAAAGTACATGTTTTAAGTTTGATTCCTAGAGAAGTTCCCGGTACGTGGAGTGAAACGTCGGGATATCGTGGAAGAAGCTCCCGGCACGTGGGGGCGAAACGTCGGGATATCGTGTTCAGTTCCTACAGAAGTTCCCGGTACGTGGAGCGAAACGTCGGGACATTGTGTTCAGTGCCTGGAAGAAGCTCCCGACAACGTGGGGGCGATGTGGTTTGCGGGTGCGACCCACATCCTCGCGCTCAAAGGCGCATTATTATCAACAACAACAACAACAACTCGTAAATATACACAAACCTCCCTTGCCACTTGTTTGTGTGGACGCGCGTGAAACTGGGCAGGCGGCGGCTTGCGCAGCAGTCTCTAAGTAGCGCAGTTCATGTCGCCGCTCAATTAGAGTAATTGGAGGCAGATGGCCCGTGGAGTTTTGCATTAAGCGCGGCGCTTAAACCTCCACCACCCCCCTCCGCTAACTCCATCAGGGATTCGCGCGCTGCCCGGTGCCAAGAGACCCCGCGTTCTCCCCTCCAGCTAGAGTACGCAAATTAAGTGCAGTATTTGGTGGCGGTGGTGGTGATGGTGGTGGTGGTGGCGGTGGTGGCGGTGGTGATGGTGGTGGTGGCGGTAACGGTGGTGGCGGTGGTGATGGTGGTGATGGTGGTGATGGTGGCGGTGGTGGTGATGGTTGTGATGGTGGTGATGGTGGTGGTGGTGGCAGTGGTGGCGATGGTGGTGATGGTGGTGATGGTGGTGGTGATGGTGGTGGTGGCGGTAACGGTGGCGGCGGTGGTGATGGTGGTGGTGGTGGTGACGGTGGTGGTGGCGGTGATGGTGGTGGTGACGGTGGTGGTGGCGGTGGCAGTGGTGATGGTGGTGATGGTGGTGATGGTGGTGGCGGTGGTGATGGTGGTGGTGGTGACGGTGGTGGTGGCGGTAACGGTGGTGGCAGTGGTGATGGTGGTGATGGTGGTGATGGTGGTGGCGGTGGTGGCGGTAACGGTGATGGTGGTGGCGGTGGTGATGATGGTGGTGGCGGTGGTGGCGGTGGTGGTGATGGTGGTGGCGGTGGTGGTGATGGTGGTGATGGTGGTGGTGGTGGCGGTGGTGGCGGTGGTGATGGTGGTGGCGGTGGTGGTGGTGGTGGTGGTGGTCATGGTGGTGGCGGTGGTGGTGATGGTGATGGTGGTGGCGGTGGTGGTGATGGTGATGTTGGTGGCGGTGGTGGCGGTAACGGTGATGGTGGTGGCGGTGGTGGTGGTGATGGTGGTGGCGGTGATGGTGGTGGTGGCGGTAACGGTGATGGTGGTGGTGATGGTGATGGTGGTGATGGTGGTGGCGGTGGTGGTGGTGATGGTGGTGGTGGTGGTGATGGTGGTGGCGGTGATGGTGGTGGTGGCGGTAACGGTGATGGTGATGGTGGTGATGGTGATGGTGGTGGCGGTGGTGGTGGTGATGGTGGTGGTGGTGATGGTGGTAGCGGTGATGGTGGTGGTGGCGGTAACGGTGATGGTGGTGGTGATGGTGATGGTGGTGGTGATGGTGGTGGTGGTGGCGGTAACGGTGATGGTGGTGATGGTGGTGGTGATGCTGCTTCTGCAGCGCTGACAGTGACAGCAAACACAGATCGCCGAACTGAGTTGAACGCGTTCGTCAATAAACACGGTGCCATTAAAATGAAGAAGTGGACACTAAGACGACGTTTCGGGCAACGACCCTCCTTCACAGCGCATGCGATGCGCCCATAGAGACGTGGACCCCCAAATGAGGTGTTGACGTGCAGAAAAAATAAAACCGTCTTTAATGTGTTCGCGAAACGCACATCGTCACGAGGGAAAATAAATCAAGGTGAAACCCTGATGACAATGTGCGGCCCTTTGTCAATTCCATAGCCAGTGTACCCCCCCCAACTACCCTCCTCTTCCTGTGCACGCTGGCAGTGTGTACAGCCGCTAAATTACAATGTCGAGGTCCGCTACTGGCCACGACGAGAGGGCTTCAGGAGAGGACGATCGAGAGGGTTCGTGCCGTAGTACTATTCCACATCCTCCGTTGCAAGAGCGTAGACCACAGTGGGGCTTACTGCGTGGTGCAAAGTGTAAGTAGGTGGGGTCTTCCTTGTTGTAGGCATCGGAGGAAATGTGCCCACGTTTTGTTGTGCTTACGAGATGGGCATCGATCTCTCCCTCTGGGCGGTCCTGCCCTCCACCCACCGAACACGGCACCATCATCATCATCATCATCTTCCTGTTCTTCATCTCACCAACCGCACTCTTCATCACCGATCCTTACCATCCCCTTCCCCAGCAACGCTCTCTCTTTAATAGGCTTAACGCAGATCCGATTGGCGTGGGGCTTCTTGTCCTGTCACACAAACACGCACACATACACACACGCACATACACGCACACACACACACGCACGCGCGCGGGCACACTCTCGCTCACACTCAGAATGAGCCATCTCAGGTCTGTGGGCAAATCACTCGCCGCGCGCGCTCTCTTTCTCTGTTTTAGCGAGTATTGTAATCACTCTTAAAGTGCTGGCGAGAGATGCCTGTGTCCCCGTGTGTCTGTGTGCGTGTGTCCGTGTGCGTGTGTCTGTGTGTGGGGAGCGGTAGTGTAGCGGTTAGCGCGCTGCGCTATGAACCTGGCGACCCGGGTTCGATTCCCGCTCACGGCCAACACCAGTGACGATTATCTAAACCGGTCCTGGGCCTCCCCTAGGTCGACTCAGCCTCAAATGAGTACCTGGTGCGGTGTGTAAACATCGCCACTAGGAAGACAAAGGCGGTCAGGGCGTGGTGCTGGCCACCCACCCCCTCGTGTACCGTTCCGGCCTTCATAGGTGCTCGCTAACAGCACTTGCCCCTACAGTCTGTTAAGGCTATACGGGGGATCTTTGTGTTTTCGTTTTCGTGTGCGTGTGTCCGTGTCCGTGTGTTTGGGAATGGTATTTTAGCGGTTAGCGCTACGAAACCCGGCCACTCGAGTTTGATCCCCGCTCACGGCCACCAACACCGGTGACGATTATCTGAACCGGTCCTGGGCCTCTTCTAGGTCGACTCAGCCTCAAATGAGTACTTGGTGCCGTGGGTAAACTTCGCCAGTGGGGAGACAAAGGCGGTCGGGCGTGGTGTTGGCCGAACACCCCCCTCGTGTGCCGTGCCGGCCTTCATCGGTGCTAATCACTAACAGCACTTGCCCCAAAAATCAGTGAAGACTCTACGGGGGGGGTGGGATCTGTACCTTTGTGGCTACAACCGGATCGTTCTTTCAAATTGCCGTCATCATCAATTCCTCCACTGAAGACGCACGCACGCGCACACACGCACGCGCACGCACACACGCGCTCACTTCTGTTAACGCACTCACGCAGCAGTGAAGAACGCGCGCGGGTGTTCCGCTACCGTCGTGAATGTTACATTTGACGCTGGGTTTGACTTCTACTTCGCCGTGTCGCCGGCTAGCGCAGCATGTGACGGACGGGTCATCAGCGTCGTATCTCAGCCGGTAAGTAGAATGACATTCCATCGACTTTGATCGCATCGTGACACATGATTGTGCGCGTGTATGTGGAAGCGGGTGATGTTGTACGTGCAGGGTATAGCCCAAAAAGGCAGGAGGCACAGGGTTTGTGATATTTTTTTCTGAGCAAATGTTCAAACTGACTTCCATCGACATTAAAACGCACGAAATTGTTTCTGAAGGATGATAATCCAACATCTAAGTCAGGGTGTAACATATTAAAGTGTTAGCATGCACAACACAACTATTTGAATTCGTTGTTCTCCAGTACATTTTCTTTTCCGTGTTTAAATATCATCGAGAAAAAGAAGACGAAAAAAAGACGAATACATATTAACTTAAAGTCTAAAACAATGAAAGTGTTTTAATGTCAGTCTGAAATAAATTTAACACCTAGGAGGCTTTTGCAACCAATATCATCCATAAGAGTTATTTTGGGTTTTGATTTAAAGCTTTCGTGACTGCAGGGATTCATATTCTTGGTTCTTTCGGTAAAGTCACGTAGAAGGGAAACAATATTTTTATTATTTTATTGTTTCCCTTCTACGTGACTTCACCGAAAGAACCAAGAATATATAGTTATTTTGGGGTTAGATCGCGTAAATATATAAATGTGTCGTTAAACCCGCCACCACCCGACGCAGCCAACTAGTAAGGTTTGTCACGTAAACTGTAATTGTAATTACTGGCGAAACGTCGTACTCAGATTTGTAAATGTTGTGGCTTTGCTCTCCAACACACCGTTGTGCTGTACTTGTGACGAATTGGCAAGTTGTCTTTACGTGACCACCCTTACGAGTTGGCTGTGTCGTGTGGTGGCGGGTTTAACGACACATTTATATTTTTACGCGATCTAACAGCCATAAACCTCTATTATGGATGGCAAACGAAAGTTTGCGAGTTCAATTACTGGTTGGCGGGTTGACACAGCCCATCATCAATCACTCCGCGGTCGATAAAATAGGGGGAACCGCTTTGGACGGAATGTGGCATTCCCAGCAGTGGCTCGGGCCTCTCAACGTGACCACCGCTTCGAGTCTCATTTTTACTTTGAATTTGAGTGTAACATTTTTATTCCACAAGATATTGGATTTCATTAATCCATCGGATAGGCGTTTATAGAAAACTATCCCGAACAATCACTCCATCAAACGTTATTGTCCCAGTTTCTGCACTCATTTACCGTATTCTCAGGATTACACGACGCTCTTACTCCCCTGTGTTATAAGAAAGCACAAGATTGGGGTGCGTCTTACTTTCTTCAGAATACGGTAGCTGTTTCAATTATGTTTTTTTTTTAAACAAACTTCTGAGTTCGTGCCTCAAAACTTAATGCGGCCGGTAACAAACATCACGATAGCGGTTGTAATAGATCAACAGTGTAACACGTTTCTTCAATTGAGCTAGGTTATCATGTGAACTTGGGAAAAGAGAAACGATGGGATGGAATTCCAAAATGACGCAGTGCAAGGGAAAAAAACAGATAGAGAATGTTTGTGACCAGCAGTGACAGGGTTGGTGGTTGAGTGAGTGAGTGTGCAGGTGGGTGGGTGAGTGAGTAGGTGAGAGAGTGGGTGAGTGAGAGAGCGGGTGAGTGAGTGGGTGAGTTAGTGGGTGAGTGAGTGGGTGAGTGAGTGGGTGAGTGATAGAGCGAGTGAGGGAGTGGGTGGTGAGTGAGTGGGTGAGTTAGTGGGTGAGTGAGGGATCGGGTGAGTGAGTGGGTGAGTGAGTGTGTGGGTGAGTGAGTGAGAGGGCGGGTGAGTGTGCGCGTGGTTGGGTGAGTGATTGAGTAGGTTAGTGGGTGAGAGGGTGGGTGAGTCAGCATGTGGCTGGGTGAGTGATAGGGATGGTTAGTGAGTGAGTGAGAGAGCGGGTGAGTGAGTTGGCGGGTGAGCAAGTGGGTGAGTTAGTGGGCGAGTATGTGAGCTCTTATGACCTGCATGCACTGTGGTTGAGCACAGTGTGGTTGATGCGATGCAGCAGTCAGTGTGTGGTAGAGGATGCGCCTATCGCCCCATCCACTGTAGCCCTTACTACTCTGCAGACATGAAGAGCGTCTCCTCCGAGTAACCAGTGCCGGATGAAGCTAGTGCGGGGCCTGTAGCATGATGCTAGAAAGGGACTCTAAATTTTAAAAAAAACACTTAAATATAAAAACACACGCATTTTTTTACTTGCATAGTAAAGTGATTGTATTTTTGTCTTTGTTATACGGCCAGATAATACGACAAATCGCTAACCTTAAACACCCAGTCGTTCATAAAAGTTGAAGGCGGTATAGTACTATAGTAATAGAGCAAGTGCAGAGTCACTGAACCGGAATTGATAGCTTGAAAGCATTTAGCGCGGGGCCCTTGAAAGTGCGGGGCCCGTAGCTACTACATATGGTAGCTACTACATGTGGTAGCTACTACATGTGGTAGCACTACCACAGCTACTACATGTGTAGCTACTACATGTGTAGCTACTACATGTAGTAGCTACTTGTGCCACGAGGATAATCCGGCACTGCTAGTAACTGCTAGGTAGGACGCGACTGCATCACGCCTCCATCACTGCCGGCATTATTCAAACGAGCTCTTGACTGGCCTCGGGGTTTGCCTGCCATCATAAGACTTCTCTCTCTATACAAATATGATTTCACCGTCGACGCTGCTAATAGTTTTACCATACTAAGCGCAACAACAATCATCTGCATTGTGGTCAAATTCCGCCCAGTGTAATAAAAATAACAACAATAGCTTCCGTGGAACATAAGAGAGAGAGAAAAACATGACTTTTTGTGTACTGTTAATCTGATGTTAGTAACCCCCCCAACCCACCCCACCCACAACCCACCCCACCCACAACGTGTATTGTACCGCCAGGGAACGGATACGGTGGGGGGGAGGGTTAGGTCTCAGAGATGGCAGTGGGAATAGAATGTGGAGGTCTGACCTCAGCTGTTTGCCGCCTCTGTGAGGTTTTCCCAGGGCCTGGACACAATGCGAACCGGACTCACGCCATCGGCAGATCAGAGGAGAGAACACCCCCCCTCCCACCTCCAAAAAATATGTGCCTTAATATTTGAGTGATTTCCCTATGCATCGTTTGAGTAATTAACAATGTGAATGCCGTGTGTATTTATAATTGCGAGTCGCGGGTGGGCCGGCGGGGGGGGGATGCGGGCAGCGGTGGTGCAGCTCGGTCAGCTCCCCGGGAGGGTCACCGCTCTGTCGACTCGGCCCTAAACAAGTGCCCCGTGCGGTGCGCAAATGTCAGAGCTGGGAAGGTAAAATGTGGTGCTGGTGCTGCCCCCCGCACCCAGCCTCGTGTGCAGTGCCGATCTTAACAGGTGCTCGCCAACAGCACTTGCCCTTACGGTCTGTCGAAGGCTATACGGGGTGGACATTTGTTTTTTTTCGGTAAAGTCACGTAGGTAAAATAAAATGAATGAAAACAACTCAATTAAATCACGACGTTTCGGAGGCAACACAAGCTTCCGTCTTCAGGTGGAACAGTCACAGCAAAATAGCTGTACAGCAAAATAATAAATGAATACACAATAAATTAATACACAGCAAAATAGCTGTACACCTATTTTGCTGTGTATTAGCTGTACAGCTATTTTGCTGTGGCTGTTCCACCTGAAGACGGAAGTTGTTTTCATTTATTTAATTTTACCTACGTGACTTTAGCGAAAAAAAAACAAAGCGTATGAATCCTTGCAGTCACGAAAGCTTCAAATCTAGAATTTGCCTTTGTGTTTGTGTGTGAGGCGGGGAGGGAGGACGGGAAGCGGTAGCGTAGTGGTTTCGCGCACACAGCGCGACACGTACCGACATCCGCTCACGGCCACAATCGGAGGCCAATATAATTGAACCTGCCCTGGGACAGCCCCCCCCCCCCACCCAAGGTCGACGCTCGTGCGTGCGCTGCGTGAATCGCCACAACTGGGGGGGGGCAAAGGCGGCCGAAACGTCGAGCTGGCAAGACCGACCCCACCATCTCAACGTCCAACCTTCATGGGTGCAGCTCGCGAACAGAACTTGAAAAAAACAGACGACACGGGGCGATCTTCGTCTTTGGTGTGAATTATTTTCACCCTGGGAGAGGCGGGGTGGGGGGGGTAATACCGATGGTTAAAAAAAATATTGTAAAAAAATTATTCGTATTAATTTATTATTTCCCTCCCCCCTTCCATCAAGGAGACCTCGCGAAGCAAGTCTTCCCCTCCAGCAGTGAAACAGCAGGCGATGTCGCAGTGGGCTTCGGGCGCTCGCTGTCGCCCGGTGGACACCCTGAGAATCCAGCGGATGCGAGGTGGCGCATTCGAGAGATTGACAACAGCAGAAGAAGCAGCAGCAGTGGAAGTAACAGCGGCAGCAAGAGCAGAAAGCCACGGCAACAGCAGCAGCAGTAGCAGCAGGAACGCAGTCCTTAATAGAAAAACTACTTTCGAAAATTGCAGCGGGAGAGTCGCACTTAAAAGCGACAGAGAGAAGAGCGGAATAGCATGCTGTCACCGCGACAGTAGCGGCTGTAGCAAAGGTGACAGCAGTAGCTGCATCAGCAGCAGCAGCTGTAGCAATGCTGATGGGAACAGCAGCAGAAGGAGCTGCATCAGCAGCAGCAGCTGTGGCAATGCTGAGAGGGGCATCTGCAGCAGCTGCAGCAGCAGCAGCAAGAGACACGTGAGACACGGTGACAGCAGGACTGCCTTCAGCCACAGGAGCGTCGTGGGGAACGAAGCGATCATCACCAGGATCATCACCACCATCATCACCAGGATCATCAGCGGTGTCGTTCCGAGCGGACTCGGAAGCGCAGCCGGCACCATCGGCTCGGACGTCGTCGTCAGCCGCGTCGCGGGCAGCAGAGCGAACGTCGGGATCGCCGTCGACAGCGGCGTCGGCAAACTCATTCGCATCACCCCCTTAGTCGACACGATCGTCACCACCGCGACCGCGAGCCTCGCCGCCGTCTGGGCCAGCGTCAACCTCGCCGGAGCGACACGGCCACGTCCGCTGGCCACCTTCTTCGCCTTGGCCCTGACCTGCGTCTCCTTGTCCTCGTGTTCACCACCGGGGCCCGCTCGCCACCGTCTCCTGCTTCTGACCCCGAGCGCGAGCTGCGAGCCGTCGTCATCCCTCGACGCCTTCCCAGAGCACGCGGCGCGACTGGCCACGTCGCGTCTCAACAGGGACCCCGGCTACACGGGACCGAGGCTGGAGGTCACCGTCGTCCCGGAGAGCTGCGACGCCGCCCAATCGCTGGAGGACCTCTGCGCGTCCCTCGTCTCAGCGGACCCGAGGAACTCGAGCATCGTGGGGCCAACTCATCCCGGATACTGCGAGGCGGCGGTCGCGCTCGCGACGCTGCACGGCGTTCCCATCGCTCCGCTGAACTGCCAGCCCGATCCCTGGACCCTGACGTTGAGCCAGACGGGTTCGATCCCCGCAAGCGGAGGCAACGGCTCTGCGCCACGGGCTCCGACGCCGCCGCCGCCGCTGTCCCTCGTGGTGCCCGCGACCCCTCCGTCGGCCGAGGTTCTCCTGCTGCTGCTGCGCCACTTCGGGTGGGCCCACACGGCCGTGGTGGCCGCCGATACGGCGCCGTGGAGGGCGGTGGCGGCGCAGTTGGCAGCCGCGCTCAGGAGGTTGGGGGTCCCGGTCGGGGTTGTGACGCAGGCGGGGGCGCGGGAGGAGAGCGCGCGTCAGGCTCTGTCGCTCATACAGAGCGCCCAGAGGATCAAGCGTGAGTGCGTGAGTGCGAGTGACTGTGTGTCTGTGTGTCTGTGTGTAGGGAGCGGTGGTGTAGTGGTCAGCGCTACGCTGCGCTATGAACCCGGCGACACGGGTTCGATTCCCGCTCACGGCCAACACCAGTGACGATTATCTGAACCGGTCCTGGGCATCCCCTAGGTCGACTCAGCCTCAAATTAATACCTGCGGCTGTGTGATAACCGGAGACAAAGGCGGTCGGGCGTTGTCCTGCGATGTGGCCATTAATAGGTGCTCGCTAACAGAACCATAGCAGCCTATAAGGCCACCGTGGGTGCCACGGTGGCTAGGAGGTGTTAACTACCTCGCCTGGTATGCCGTACCTCGTAGGTTCGATCCCGACCCTGACGCCTGCTGCTGTATATTTGGAGTTTGCGTGTCTCTTTCTCACCATCATCATCACCAAGGTAGCTAGGAGATATTAACTCCCTCGCCTGGTATACAGGAGTTTGCGTGTCTCTCTCTCTTTCTCTCGGTGGTCGCGTGGATTTTTCTCCGGGGTTTTCCTGGTCTCCCCTCCACATTTAAAACAACATCACGCGTTTGGCGCGTTCAAAGAATGTGGCTGCTATCAATGTTCACGTGATGAGCCACTTCGTTCAGCTATCATTTGTCGCTTCTGAAAAAGAAGCTAATGGCTCAGTGGACTTTGCCTGGTAAGATACAAAAAGTTTAGTTTAATCTTTATATGTTTCGAATTTTGTTTTACCTTTTCCATACTTTGTACTCCGATCGTGCTTTTGTATCGTTTGTCGTTGTCAGGTTCTGACCCGCCCCTGCCTGACATCTGTGAAAAAGAGCTTTATAGCTCATCGGATTCCTCCAGTATAAATACAGATTCTGATTCTGACGTCTGTGAAAAAAATCTTTATAGTTCATCGGATTCCTCCAGTATAAATACAGATTCTGATTGTGACATCTGTGAAAAAGAGCTTTATAGCTCATCGGATTCCTCCAGTATAAATACAGATTCTGAATTTGACATCTGTGAAGAAAGCTCCATAGCTCCTCTTATTCCTCCGGTATAAATACAGATTCTGAATTTGACATCTGTGAAAAAAAGCTTTCTAGCTCATTGGATTCCTCCGTTATAAATACAGATTTCGATTCTGACATCTGTGAACAAAAACAAGCTTTATAGCTCATCGGATTCCACCTGTATAAACATTCCCATTCTGTGTGGCCTGCAGTCCCTACAAACGTCGCGCGCTCACCGCATTTAACCCCACCACCCCTGCCACCACCCCCGCCACCCCTGCAGTGGTCATCATGTGCATGAGCTCGTCGCTGCTCGGAGGCGCTGAGGAGCGCGTGCTCCTCCAGACGGCCGCGCGCCTCGGGCTCACGCGGGGTAGCCACGTGTTCGTGCCGCTCGAGCCGATGCTCTGCAGCCTCGGTCACGGCGCACTCGAGACGTACCCACGGCTGGCCGACGATTCGGCCCTGCGCCAGGCGTACGACGCCACCCTGACGCTCAGCCTCCTCTCGTCGCCCAACGCCTCGTTCCGCGAGGCCGTGCGGGACGCGCGGAGCGCCGGGGAGATGCCCGAGGATGTTGAGGCCAGGGAGGCAAGTTCGCTCGTGTCGGGCGGTGGTTACCGGTGGTGGTGGTGGTGGTTACGCTGCACGTGGCCTGTAATATGTTGGCTAAGATATGTTAACTACCTCGCCTGGTATGAAGGAGGTTGTGAGTTCGATCCCGACCCTGACGCCTGCTGTATCTTTGGAGTTTGCAGTCTGTCTTTCTCTCTCTCTCATCATCATCACGGTGGCTCGGAGATGTTAACTACCTCGCTTGGTACACAGGGGGTTGTGGGTTCGATCCTGACCCTGACGCCTGCTGCTGCTGTATATTTGGAGTTTGTGGTGTCTCTCTCTCTCTTTCCCCGTGGTCGCGTGGATTTTTTTTCTCCTCCACATTTAGAATGAACATCAACGCGTTTAGACTATTTGGCTGATATACATTAACAAACGATAGGCCCACTTCGTTGAGCTATCATTTGTTGCCAGGTCGCTTCTGAAAAAGAGCTACAATAATAATACTCAGTGGGGCCTTACCCAGTTATATAATAGTTTACATAGTGCTATAGCTTGGTGGATCACTGCACAGATGCTGTGCGCAACTCCTTTCTTCCCCGGGGGTGTCGAGGAGGGGGATCTGCACCCAGGCTCGCCACGAGAAGGCGTTCCAGTAAAATGTGGACTAATCTCCCTCTGTTCCATCTCGATGGGATAGAGTGTTACCCCCTCGCATGTATACGTTTTCTCCGGGTGCTCCGCTTTCTGCCACGTGCACACAAACGGATACCGTTCATAAGACGACGACGACGATGTCCAAGATTGCGGACGCCGTTGCCACCGATGCCAATCATTATCAGCACCAAAACCCATCTCCCCTCCCCCCCTCAAGGTCTCCCCCCTCTTCGGCTCCGTCTACGACGCCGTCTCACTGCTCGCCCGCGCCCTCCAACTCGGCCGCGCGTCCGACCTCCACGCCGACGGCCTCAGCCGCGCACTGCGCACCGACGCCGTGGGGCGCCCCGTGGCTCGCTACGCCGTGCTGGACACGGACGGCGACGGGGACACCCTGAGCGCGGTGCTGACCCTGGACAGCGACACCGGCGAGGTGGTGGCGGTGCCCGGATCGCGCCTCCACTTCCCCGGGGCTGGGGCACCCCCAGCGGCCGATCCCGAGTGCTGGTTTGATCCCACGCGTCCCTGCGCGGCGGGTAAAGCGATCTCACTCTCGACTCACTCTCTCTTTCACTCACTCTCACCCACTCTCACTCTCTCTCTCACTCTCTCTCACCCTCTCTCACTCACTCTCTCTCACCCTCTCTCACTCACTCTCTCACCCTCTCCCACTCTCTCACTCTCTCACACACTCTCTCTCACTCACTCTCACTCTCTCTCACTCTCTCTCACCCTCTCTCACTCACTCTCTCTCACTCTCACCCTCTCCCACTCTCTCACTCTCTCACACACGCTCTCACTCTCTCTCACCCTCTCTCACTCACTCTCTCTCTCTCACTCACTCTCACCCTCTCTCACTCACTCTCACCCTCTCCCACTCTCTCACACTCTCTCTCTCTCACTCACTCTCATTCTCTCTCACCCTCTCTCACTCTCTCTCTCTCACTCTCACCCTCTCTCACTCTCACTCTCTCTCACTCACTCTCACCCACTCTCACTCTCTCTCACTCTCTCTCTCACACCCTCTCCCACTCTCTCTCATTCTCTCTCACCCTCTCTCACTCTCTCTCTCACCCTCTCCCACTCTCTCACTCTCTCACACTCTCTCTCACTCTCTCTCTCACTCTCTCTCACTCTCTCACTTTCTCTCACCCTCTATTACTCTCTCTCACACTCACTCACTCTCTCTCTCTTTATCTCTCACGCGCGCGCTTATTTGCCTTCTGTTTTGTCATAGCGCTGTACGTGATTGATGAAGGGCCACTGCCCGAAACGTCGCACAATGTATGCATTTATTGATGTATTTATTTGTGCCGCCTGTTAGAGCAGCGGTGGGAAGCCTACGGGTCTGGAGCCGCATGCGGTGGCTCTTTAAGGACTGCAGTGCGGCTCACGAAAATTCGAAAAGAATGCCTCTTCTTGTTATTTTGGTTACCGACCCCTGATGATGGAAGTCCAGTTTACCATAGCAGTCCAGATTACCATAGGAATTAGTTTACCATGGAAGTGCAGTTCACCATGGGAGTCCAGTTCACCATGTGAGTCCAGTTCACCATGGGAGTCCAGTTCACCACGTGAGTCTAGTTCGCCATGTGAGTCTAGTTTACCATGTGAGTCTAGTTCACCACGTGAGTCCAGTTCACCACGTGAGTCTAGTTCACCACGTGAGTTCAGTTCACCATGTGCGTCTAGTTCACCACGTGAGTCGAGTTCACCACGTGAGTCCAGTTCACCACGTGAGTCTAGTTTACCATGTGAGTCTAGTTCACCACGTGAGTCTAGTTCACCACGTGAGTCCAGTTCACCACGTGAGTCTAGTTCACCACGTGAGTCTAGTTCACCACGTGAGTCAAGTTCACCACGTGAGTCCAGTTCACCACGTGAGTCCAGTTCACTATGTGAGTCCAGTTCACCACGTGAGTCTAGTTCACCACGTGAGTCCAGTTCACCATGTGAGTCTAGTTCACCACGTGAGTCTAGTTCACCACGTGAGTCCAGTTCACCACGTGAGTCTAGTTCACCACGTGAGTCTTGTTCACCACGTGAGTCTAGTTCACCACGTGAGTTTAGTTCACCACGTGAGTCCAGTTCACCACGTGAGTCCAGTTCACTATGTGAGTCCAGTTCACCACGTGAGTCTAGTTCACCACGTGAATCTAGTTCACCACGTGAGTCCAGTTCACCATGTGAGTCCAGTTCACCACGTGAGTCCAGTTCACTATGTGAGTCTAGTTCACCACGTGAGTCTAGTTCACCACGTGAGTCCAGTTCACCATGTGAGTCTAGTTCACCACGTGAGTCTAGTTCACCACGTGAGTCTAGTTCACCATGTGAGTCTAGTTCACTATGTGAGTCGAGTTCACCATGTGAGTCGAGTTCACCACGTGAGTCCAGTTCACCATGTGAGTCTAGTTCACCACGTGAGTCCAGTTCACCATGTGAGTCTAGTTCACCATGTGAGTCTAGTTCACCACGTGAGTCTAGTTCACCACGTGAGTCTAGTTCACCACGTGAGTCAAGTTCACCACGTGAGTCTAGTTCACCACGTGAGTCTAGTTCACCACGTGAGTCCAGTTCACCACGTGAGTCGAGTTCACCACGTGAGTCGAGTTCACCACGTGAGTCCAGTTCACCACGTGAGTCCAGTTTACCATGTGAGTCTAGTTCACCACGTGAGTCGAATTCACCATGTGAGTCTAGTTCACCACGTGAGTCCAGTTCACCACGTGAGTCCAGTTCACCACGTGAGTCGAATTCACCACGTGAGTCCAGTTCACCACGTGAGTCCAGTTCACCACGTGACTCGAATTCACCATGAGAAGGGGTGGGCAACCTGTGACTCCGGAACCACATGGCGGCTCTTTAAGGATCGCTTCGTGACAGTTATTTATTAAGGGACCACCACCGTCTCGAATTCACCACCGGCAGTTCACCGCGGCTTTTGAAATATTGAGGTGGGCGTTGTAGTTGCGTTTTTTTTATTTCACCGAATTTGAAAAAACAACGTGACTCTCCTTGTCATCCCGGTTGTCGACCCCCGCTGCTGCGCACGCCAGGAGTGGAGCCCAGCCTCATCCTGCTCGTGCTCGTGGTGGCACTCTGCTTCGTGCTGGGAGGAGTGGCACTCACCTTCTTCCTGAGGTGCCGTGCGGAACTCCCACCCGCTGCCACCTCGATCCACTGCTGGATGGATTGAGAGTGACCCCCCCCCCCCGCCTCTCTCTACCCTCTCCACCCCACCTCTACCCTCCGGCGTGCGGGGTTCAGTCACGGATTTGTGTTGTTACCCTTTCGTCAGCTAGACGGTGTTTTTAATTAATTTGTGGCCCCAATTGTTCGCATGTCACCGACTGCGCGAGTGGCTCGCGACCGCTCGTTGTTGGAATTCCACAGCGCCGGCCGATCGCTTCTTAAAGTGAACACGAGACGGGTCCCCCCACTCCGCAGGCGGAGAGAGAGAGACACGCAAACTCCAAATATTAGAGCTGGCGTCAGGGTCGGATTCGAACGCGTGACCTCCTGCATACCAGGCGAGGTAGTCAACATCTCAAAGCTACGGTGGCTATGAGATGTTGACCACCAGGTCTGTGCGTGTTTTTATTTTTTATTCCAAGTCAACGCCATCACCGAACGGAGGGGGGACAAAACATCACCCCGAATGCGCCCAAAGCTAAGCAGGAAACAGAGACTGCTTAGCTCGACCATGTGACCCTCAATGAACAGGTTATGGGGCCATGCTATGGTGCAGGAAAGCAAAGGGCCAGTACAGTGCAACTAAATTAATCGTTTTTTGTTTGTGGGTATTATTGTTCATGGGACCTCCTTTGCCAGTACCAAAATGTGAGAAGAGGTTTTTCCCCATTAATCTGGCAACAAAAGATCTGTTTTAAGTTGTTAAAACACCAAACTGAAACCTTTTACAAGGAATCATGTTTGCATTACCCACAATGATTGTGGTCAGAATGTAAACAAAAAGCATACTCTGATAATATATGCATTGTCTTTGAAACTGATTGGTCCACACTAGAGACAGCTTTCTTTTGAACCTCGTCTCAAACGGTGTTAGACCAGAGGACGCCAAAAGGCGTTACACAGCCCAAAGCCAACGCCACTATCAGAGTAATGAGGGCCCGGGTCTGAGCATCTACATCATGGGACCTCCTTTGCCAGTACCAAAATATGATCATAGGTTTGAACCCCTTTAATGTGGCAACAAAACAGCTGTGTTAAGTTGTTAAAACACCAAACTGAAACCTTTTACAAGAAATCATATCTGCACTAACCATCGGATTCTGTCTGCCCCCCCCCTTCCCCCCTTACTCTCCCCGTGGGCAGGAGAAGAATTCATCAGCTCCAGATGGTGAAAGGTCCCAACAAGATCCTGATGACGCTGGATGACCTGACCTTCATCAACCCGCAGCAGAGCCGCAAAGTACACGCTACGAACTCATACGAACTCTCCCACCGGGGGATTCGCTCTCACCGAGCGCCGGAGCCACCGCGGGGGGCCATCTCCCGGTTGGACGTCTTTGCTATTCCCGAATCCCAAAGACGTCCACGCAGTTTAGCGGTGGCCAGTGCTTCCCGAGCACCGTGAATCTGTTTTGGTGGACGTCAGCGGGCTGCACGTTTCCCCTCCAGAAACCCCAATCGTGACCAACGATTGCCCGGGTAGATTTAGCCCGGATGATATATAGCGTCCAGGACGATAGACGTGACGATTACCAGCGGGCGTCGGTGGAGAGAAGTTGTTCTAAACGCGCGTGGGCACGTTGAGATTCTTTCGCGCCGTACGAAGCCAACCACGCTAATCGGAGGTGCGGGGGAAGGACAAAAAACTAAACACAAAAGAGCAGTTCTACTGAAATGAGTCAGTCTTCAATCGAGATGATGGTTTAAAAGTGCATGGCTCCAGTTGCGTCCTCATATCGGAAGGCAGAGCGTTCCAGACGGCCGCAGAAAGTGCAATCTGAAAGATGCCGCGCGATGGTGCGGTCACCGTTTTTGTTTGGTGGTTAGAATTCTTAGTCGGGGGTTTTTTATTTGCCGTCAGACTGTAACGAAAACAATTTCTGCGCGCTTATTGATGTCAGAGGTTGTTCCGATCTGTCCTGAGTCCCACAGCAAACTCCGTAGCGACCTCCACTCCACGTGGATCGCGATCCCCACTCCACGTGGATCGCGATCTCTACTCCACGTGGATCGCGATCCCCACTCCACGTGGATCGCGATCTCTACTACACGTGGATCGCGATCCCCACTCCACGTGGATCGCGATCTCCACTCCACGTGGATCGCGATCTCTACTACACGTGGATCGCGATCCCCATTCCACGTGGATCGCGATCTCTACTACACGTGGATCGCGATCCCCACTCCACGTGTATCGCGATCTCCACTCCTGGGCTGGGGCGGTGCACGTCACGAGGCGGTACGATCGATCGCTGGCGGTGCGGGACTGTGGCAGGTGGCCAAGGGGCACGGGCACGCTTTCATCCAGCAGTGGATAGACCAGGGGTCGGCAACCAAAAGAACGAGAAGAGCCAATTTTGTTCGCGAATGCGCTCAAACTCACTCGACGTTTAAAGAGCCGCAATGCACCTGTGGTGGTGGTGGTGGTGGTGGAGACGAGACGACGGTGATGGTCCTCGATGAATAACGTCAGTAAGCGGTCCGACAGGAGACGCCATTCGCCTCCAGAGCCGCGGGTTGCCCGCCCCTGCGATAGACGATGTCTGACGGTGATGACGATGATGTGGTTTGCCCTAGGAATTGTTTTGTAAAGCCAAGACATTGACAGTATTGCGCACGTGGGCACGGTGGTGAGATGATTTTGTACTCCCCCCCACGACCCTGCTCGTGCTATCCGATCAGTCGAGTAACCAAAATGATAATCGGTAGAGGCATCGATTACTTAAATACTCGGAGATTGCCAAACGATGTTGATGAAATGTAATGTCCTTGGCTCCGTAATCGGGCTACAGAGCGGCGCGTGTCTCTCCCATCACCACGAACACCCCCCCCCCCCCCCACTCATCACTCCTTCTCACTCCTCACTCCGTCCCCCCCCCCTCCCACTCCTCACCCCTCTCCACTCCTCCTCACCCCCTCTCCTCTCCTTCCCACTCCTCCTCACTCCGTTCCCCTCCCTCGCTCATCCCTCTCCACTCACCACCCACTCGCCCTCACTCCTCCTCACCCCTCACCACTTGCTCCTCACTCCTCCCCACATACTCCTCCCTCTCGCCCCCTCCTACACCTACCTCCTCAATGCCACCCAAATCCTCCATCGCCACCGCCGCCACCCAACGCTCTCTCGTCCTCGTCTCCTCTCTCACCACCAATCCTCACCCCCCCCACCCCCCCCCCCCCAACCGCACCCACGCGTGGCTCGCCCCACAAACGCCCGGCACGAGAAGCTCACGGACGACGGCCGAACGAGCGTGGTGGGGCGCAGCGTCACCGACCTGAAGGGCACCGCGAGGCCCTCCCGCGGCTCCGTGTCGGGGAAGAGCGTGGCGCCCGCTCCTGAGAGTAGCAGCGTGGCCGTGTACGAGGTCCGTGTCGGGGTGGGTGACGACCGCGAGAGTGAGACGCGGGCGGAGATCGGCAGGACCCTGGAGGGGTGGAGGGGGATGGGGGAGAGTGGACCTAGGGGAGAGAGGGACATGGGGGGGTGAGGAGAGGGATCTGGGAGAGAGACCTAGGGGGAGAGATGCGCCACGGTGGCTAGGAGATGTTAACGACCTCGCCTGGTACACAGGAGATCGTGGGTTCGATCCCGACCCTGACGCCTGCTGCTGTATATTTGGAGGTGGTATGTTGTTCACGTGGTAGCGTGGATTTTTCTCCACATTTAGAATCAACGTGGGTTTAGAGTATTTGTTCGCTGCTATAAATTGCCACATCAGCCAAGTCACTTCCAAAACAGAAGCTTATAGCTTAGTGGGTGAAATAAAAAAAGTACTTTAGTTTTATTTATATATTAATTTTTAAGTTATTTGTTTATCTTTCCTATACTTTGCACACCGATCGTGTTTGTTGTTGTTTGTAGTCGGAACGTTCTAAACCCGTACCCCCTTTTGAACATTTGTGAAAAAGCGCTTCATAGCCCATCGGATTCCTCCTCCAGCAGAAATAAATATTCTCAGTCTGAATCCACTGGATCCTTGAGGCAGGGGATGAATCAGCACCACGGACAGTGACTGCCGGTCCTCCAGTATAGAACTACAGGGGCTGGGCCCCGTTTGATTAACATTACAAAAACTTTACTATACCTACCTGCTCACTCCACAGACACGTGCTGCTGTGTTGACAGTGCTGCTGCTGCTGCTGTTGTTGTTGTTGTTGACAGTGGTGGCCCAAGCACAAATAACACAAACTCAATGAAATCGTCAACAACACTGGGGCCCTTAAAGGGAAAATCACAATGGGTGAAATTTCGGGCGATTTTTCTTCTCCATCACAGAAAGATCGCGATTCTCTCATTTGTAGATATTCAATATGGGCAGAACAAGGTTACGTGCGTTATTATTTTAAAATGATTCTGATGGTTTACCCACTGAAGCCTCACTGAGTCTCGGGACTCATTGTTTATTACCGACATTAAGCTGGCTTACCACTTACACCTGAAACGCAATTGCAAACTCTCTCTCTCTAGATACACATTCATTACGATAGCAGAGAGATCAATGTGTTCCATTACTTGCTCATTATGAAGATCACAAGCCGCGTATGAGACTATTTAAACTATAAACTAAATCTCCAACTAAATCTCCAATGTATTACACTCTCCCTCCTGGCCGCTAATACGCCGAGCATCTGGCAATTTAACCGTGAATCCATATTGCTTTGGTCTTTCGGTAAAGTCACGAAGACAGGTTGAAATAAAATATTTTCTTTTTACGTAGGAAAATATTTCCTTTTAACCTACCTACGTGACTTTACCGAAAGACCCAAAGAATATGAATTCCTGCAGTCACGAAAGCTTTAAGTCAAGATTTAACCGTGAATCGTAACACGCTCCACTCCGATATCCTACGGTTCCACGATCCCGTGTGTTGCGCACCTTCACGCGGCCACGCAATTGGCCCGCTGCACTCGAGAACGCGCTTTCGTTACGGGCAGACCGAAAACCCGGATTCGGTAACCTGGATCTTAGGATCGGGAGTCATTTGGCGGTGCCGTCCGGGCGGCTCTGGGTGACGTTATCCGTCACTCAGGGTGCGTGGAGGAGGAGGGGAGGGTGACTCATCACTGCACGCTTCGTCTCCACACAGGGTGACTGGGTTTGGTTGAAGAAGTTCCCCAAAGGCAAGTTCGGTGAGATCCGGCAAGCCACCACGAGCGTTTTCCGAAAGGTAAAATTCTAAACGAAACAATTAATTTTCATTTTATTTGACCAGGTAAGGCTCTTTTTTCAGGAGAGACCTGGCCACGAAGCGAACATCGCCCCCCCCCCCCCCGTGTTGTGAAAAGTTAACAGGACCCTTCCCCGGGTAAACAAGCGGAGTAGTAATACTGAAAACAATTTTGGTAAAATAATAATAATGTCGTGCAAATTTCACGTTTGTGACCTTGTGCCATAAACAATTCAAATCTGTTGATACGATGCGAAAAAAACTTACAGAAAGATGAGTGCCGGGACAGGAAAAAGAACAGATTTAACAACACGCAAATACGAGTGTGGCACTGTACGCACAAAAAGCTCCCACTCAGCCTTACACAGACCACCGGTTGAGCATCTACATCATTAGACCTCCTTTGCCAGTACCAAAATATAATAGTAGGGTTTTTCCCCTTTTTTTCTTTTGGGTCGAGGCTCAAAAGAAAGTCGTCCCTTGGTGTGGACCAATCAGTTTCAAGGACAATGCATTATATATTATAATAGTATGTTTTTTTATTTGCATTTTGACTGCAGGTATTGTGGTTAATGCAGACATGAATCCTCGTAAAAAGGTTTCAGTTTTGTTGCCAGAAACAAGGGGAGAAACCACCCTATTACTAGACCACCGGTTGTATCGAACTGCACACGTGCGGCCAATTTGTCATCTTAAACCAATTCTTGTTCTTCGTCTCCTCGTGCCGACGACCACGTTGGATGTGCGGCTACGGCTCACCGGAGTCTCGGCAGGTAGCCCCCCTGCCACCGGAAATCCCTCGCGACTCAGCCCAAATCCCCACGAGCGCAACAGAACTGCACGTGTGTGTGTGTGGCCATCGTGACACAAATAACTCAAATCTGTTTGCGGAGATTTCTAAATTCGGTTTAAGTTTCAGTTAGCAGGGATAGCCCTGTGAGCCATGAGGCTTTTGACTCGGGGGGCAACCGCAACAAACAAATCATGAACAAAGAAACATCTTAAAGTGACGTTTCGCAACAGAAACATCCAGGAAGAAGCCTTAAAAATCTTCCAGAAGAAAAAAAAATCACCGTACATCAACGATGTGTGCAAAAATCCCAATGGGATGCAAGTCGAACAATAACAACCATAAGACAATTTAGATACAATTATCAGGCTAACTCTGTACTTCAACAAACAAACACGGCTTAACCAAAACGTGTTCGAACATCGCCAAAATAAAGCTATAAAAGCAATGTAACAGTGATTATAGGAACTGTAATCAAAATTTAACAATAAACGATATGAAACTAGATTTGATGCTTTCGTGACTGCAGGAATTAATCTTTTTTTTTCGGTAAAGTCACGTAGAAATAAGAAAAATAAAAAAAATAAAAAAAATTACATAATATACGACGTTTCGATTGCAACACAAGCAATCATCATCAGGTATAGGAAACACATAACCGCAGATATATATACAGACCTTAAGTAGAGGGAATTAACACAGATATACCAGGGGATACAGAGAGACGGAACATCACACTAAATCAAACAGGGTTTAGCAAAATATGGAAACTATATAAAGCAACACAGACGGTCGGTTAAAACACAATTAACGCATGGTTTGGTTGAATACGCTGTTTCAAAGATTGTTAAATTGTAAGTTAAGTGTGAAATTTAAGATAGTGATAGAATACTTACCGTAGAGAGACCTATAGGGGGAGACACGCGCACAGTTAAGAAGTGAAGCAACTCTGTACCGAGGCTTTAAGTAGCTGGAGATGGAGGGGCTGGGACTCAGACAATGGGACACAAATTATCATGATATAAGTTGTCAGGCACACGCAGAGAGGGGGCGCAGCAGCGCACACTTAGAGGCACCCAGGTACACAACTATATGTATAGAAAACACAGCGACATACATCCAATTCAAGACACAAAGGCAGGCACACCAGTAGAGAACACAAAGACACAGATTTCATACCTCCCCGAAGAGGTGGTTCAAACTAGATTTGATGCTTTCGTGACTGCAGGAATTAATCTTTGTTTTTTCGGTAAAGTCACGTAGACATAAGATAAATAAAAAAATTAATTACATAATATACATTATGTTTGCAATATGTATATTATGTAATTTTATTTTACGTAATAATATACATTATGTATACATTATGCATATTATGCAATTTTATTTTTTACATAATAGTATACATTATGTATACTATTATGTATATTATGCAATTTTATTTTTACATAATAGTATACATTATGTATACATTATGTATATTATGTAATTTTATTTTTATTTATCTTATGTCTACGTGACTTTACCGAAAAAACCAAAGATTGATTCCTGCAGTCACGAAAGCATCAAATCTAGTTTGAACCACCTCTTCGGGGAGGTATGAAATCTGTGTCTTTGTGTTCTCTACTGGTGTGCCTGCCTTTGTGTCTTGAATTGGATGTATGTCGCTGTGTTGTCTCTACCTGTAGTTGTGTACCTGGGTGCCTCTAAGTGTGCGCTGCTGCGCCCCCTCTCTGTGTGCCTGACAACTTATATCATGATAATTTGTGTCCCATTGTCTATCAGTCCCAGCCCCTCCATCTCCAGCTACTTAAAGCCTCGGTACAGAGTTGCTTCACTTCTTAACTGTGCGCGTGTCTCCCCCCATAGGTCTCTCTACGGTAAGTATTCTATCACTATCTTAAATTTCACACTTAACTTACAATTTAACAATCTTTGAAACAGCGTATTCAACCAAACCGTGCGTTAATTGTATTTTAACCGACCGTCTGTGTTGCTTTATATAGTTTCCAAATTTTGCTAAACCCTGTTTGATTTAGTGTGATGTTCCGTCTCTCTGTATCCCCTGGTATATCTGTGTTAATTCCCTCTACTTAAGGTCTGTATATATATCTGCGGTTATGTGTTTCCTCTACCTGATGATGATTGCTTGTGTTGCAATTGAAACGTCGTATATTATGTATTTTTTTCTTATTTCTACGTGACTTTACCGAAAAAAACAAAGATTAATAAACGATATACATAACATGTAACGACCAAACTTTTGCAGCCATAGCTGGCAGCATGAGTCACTCCATAACAGCAGGAGTATCAGTAGCAGTATCAACATTTTTCAATGCACCTATTATCGACACTCAAGATCATACTTTGCAGCGGACATCCGGAGCGGTGCATTTGATAACCCTCCTCCCACCCCCCCATCACGAGAAAGACGAATGCCGGGCTGTAAAACAAACAGATTGAACAACACGCGCGCCGCGCTGAAGACGCCAACAGCCCATGAGCTTCGCGCAGACCAAACCAGCTCGACAAAACCTGGACGTGCGGCAAATTTTAGTCGTTCGGGACCAGCGACTCGAATCGAGGCGGCGAGCCGACGAAACGGCCGCTGGCGACGAAAACTTCCCACGGCGGCGGCAAACAAAACCACGGACACGCGCACCCCCCTCACCTCCTCCTCCGTGCGTCGCTAACCCCCAGCCCCCCCCCACCACTTCCCACTCGTTACCCCCCCCCCAAATCCCGCGCAATAGCTGCGGGACATGCGTCACGAGAACGTGAACCCGCTGCTCGGCATCTTCAGCGACCTGGGGGTGGCGGCTGTGGTCTCCGAGTATTGCCTGCGCGGGAGCCTCGAGGATCTCATCCGCAACTCGGACATGAAGCTGGATTGGATGTTCAAGTCGTCGCTCCTCTTCGACCTCATCAAGGTGCGGCGGGTCGAGGACGATCGTGCGGGACGCGCGGTTCGGTCGAAGCGTCGACGTCGGAGCGATCTGCCCGTCGGAGGTCTCTGCAACCTCGGGGAGGGCGGGGGGCGTAGGTGGTGCCGCCTCGCATGGATTTATCTCCCCACACCCCAGGTCGCTACGGTCACAATTTCGACAGAGAGGGAGAGGTCCCGTTGAGTATCGGTGTGTTCCATCGACGCCGCGCCGACAATCTCCCCACCCGCATTCGACATTTTAATCCTGCACGGTGGCCGCGCCGCAGCCTGCGCGAGACTATTAACTAAACTGTAAACTTTTATTTTATTTTACCAGCTAAGGCCCACTAGCTCTTTTTCAAAAGCGACCTGGCCAACACAAATTTATAGCCCAACGGCAGTGGCTTATCGTAATATCCATATTGATAGCAGCCAAATGCTCTGAACGCGTCATGTTGATTGTAAATGTGGAGGGGGGGAAAACCGGAGGACCTGGAGAAAAATCCACGCGACCACGGGAAGAGAGAGAGAGAGACACCGCAAACTCGAGATATACAGCAGGCGTCAGCATCGGGATCGAATTAACGACCTCCTGCACACTCGGCGAGGTAGTTAACATCTCCTAGCCACCGTGACACAAACAAATCTCGTGCTCCCGCCGCCGCCGCCGTTGTTGTAGTTGTTGTAGTTGTTGTTGTAGTTGTTGTTGTAGTTATTGTAGTTGTTTTAGTTGTTGTCATTGCAGTTGTTGTTGCTGTGGTTGTTGTAGTTGTTGTTTTAGTTGTAGTTGTTGTTGCAGTTGTAGTTGTTGTAGTTGTAGTAGTTATTGTGGTTGATGTAGTTGTTGTTGCTGTGGTTGTTGTTGTAGTTGTTGTAGTTGCTGTTGTTGTTTTAGTTGTAGTTGTTGTTGTAGTTATTGTGGTTGTTGTAGATGTTGTTGTTGTTGCTGTTGTTGTTGCAGTTGTTGTAGTTGTTGTTGTAGTTGTTGTTGTAGTTGTAGTAGTTATTGTAGTTGTTGTAGTTGTTGTTGTTGCTGTGGTTGTTGTTGTAGTTGTTGTAGTTGCTATTGTTGTTTCCGTGTTTGCCCGGCAGGGCATGCGCTACCTGCACCACCGCGAGGTCGTGCACGGGCGCCTCAAGTCGCGCAACTGCGTGGTGGACGGCCGCTTCGTGCTCAAGGTGGCCGACCACGGCTTCAACGAGCTCCTCGAGTCGCAGAGGATCGTTCGCGACGAGCCCTCGGCATGCGGTGAGCACGCCTGAAGTACGGCTGGGGCAAGCCTGGAGCACGCCTGGAGCACGTCTGGAACACGCCTGGGGCATGCCTGGGGCAAGCCTGGGGCAAGCCTGGGGCATGCCTGGAGCATGCCTGGGGCATGCCTGGGGCATGCCTGGGGCATGGCTGGGGCATGCCTGGGGCATGTCTGGAGCATACCTGGAGCATGCCTGGGGCATGCCTGGAGCATGCCTGGGGCATGCCTGGGGCATGCCTGGAGCATGCTTAGAGCATGCCTGGAGCACTCCTGGGGCATGCTTGGGGCATGCCTGGGACAAGCCTGGGGCCCTCGTAGTGGCTTGCCGTGTCACGCTTGTACGTGTGTACGTTGAACTTCTTTCGCACCGCACATCGCCAACTGCGCTAATCGGAGGTGCGGAGGAAGGCCAACAAGCTAAACACAACAATAATCTAAAAACAACAACATCCTGAACACAACAACAACAAACTGAACACAACAACAAACCGAACACAACAACGAACGGTGGTGGCCGCGAGCGGCGATCTCACCCGGGCGGCCGGGTCCGTAGCGCAGCGCAGCACTCCCCACACTGACTCGCTCGCTCGCTCGCTCACCCCCACGCGCTCGCCCTCTTCTGCTCACCCCACGCTCACCCCGCGCTCACCCCACCCACCACTGCTCGTCGTGGTTGCAGAGCTGCTGTGGTCTGCGCCGGAGCTGCTGCGAGACGCGGAGGTGGCGCGGCGCGGCACGGCGCGTGGAGACACCTACAGCTTCGCCATCGTCCTGCAGGAGCTGATCGTGCGCGGGGCGCCCTTCTGCATGGTGGACCTCAGCGCCGAAGGTACCCGGGCACCGCCTCCCGCTCCGAACGAACACGATCCCCACGACCACCACCCACCAGGGCAACCACCCACCAGGGCCACCACCACCATGACCACGACCACCACCCACCAGGGCCACCACCCACCAGGACCACCACCACCATGACCACCACCCACCAGGGCTACCACCACCATTACCACCACGATGACCACCACCACCGTCATGACCACCACCACCACGACCACCACCATGACCACCACGATGACCACCATCACCACCACCACGACCACCACCATCACCACGACCACCACCACGACCACCACTACCATGACCACGACCACCACCACGACCACCACCATGACCACCACCACGACCACCAACCACGATGACCACCACGATAACCACCATCACCACCACCATGATCATCACCACCGCGACCACCGCCACCATGACAACGACGACAACATTCCACATCGTCCTAAATTTGCTATCGAGTCCTGAATGTCGATTGTTACGAGTTACTCCGAAAGTACGGCCCGGTCGACACACTCGCGTGTGCGTGGTGCTGGCCACCCACCATCACCTCGTGTGTGCCACTCTCTCACAGCACTTGCCACCAACAGTCTGTTGGGGGGGTGAACCCTTGCCTTTGTGGGCGCGTCTCGTCCAGAGATCGTGCGCAAGGTGCGCAAGCCGCCCCCGCTGTGCCGCCCCTCCGTGTCCATGGACCAGGCGCCCATCGAGTGCATCCAGCTGATGAAGCTCTGCTGGAACGAGCTGCCCGAGCGCAGGCCCAGCTTCGACAGCATCTTTGACCAGGTCCCTGCTGCTCACTCGTAGCCCCCCCCCCCCGCTCGTCCCCCCCCCCCCTCCGCTCGTCCCCCCCCCCGCTCGTCCCCCCCCCCCCGCTCGTCCCCCCCCCCGCTCGTTCACTCTCCCACACTCTCACCCACTCACTACTTACCCACTCTACCAATCACTCACCCACTGACTCACCCGCTCACTCTCCCACACTCTCACCCACTCACTCACCCGCTCACTCTCACATTCGCTCGCCCACACACTCACCCACTCTGCCGATCACTCACCCACTCACTCACCCGCTCACTCTCCCACACTCTCACCCACTCACTACTCACCCACTCTACCAATCACTCACCCACTCACTCACCCGCTCACTCTCCCACACACTCACCCACTCACTCACCCGCTCACTCTCCCACACTCTCACCCACTCACTACTCACCCACTCTACCAATCACACACCCACTCACTCACCCGCTCACTCTCCCACACACTCTACCAATCACTCACCCACTCACTCTCCCACACTCTCACCCACTCACTACTCACGCACTCTCCCACACACTCACCCACTCACTCACCCGCTCACTCTCCCACACTCTCACCCACTCACTCATCCGCTCACTCTCCCACACTCTCACCCACTCACTACTCACCCACTCTACCAATCACACACCCACTCACTCACCCGCTCACTCTCCCACACTCTCACCCGCTCACTCACCCGCTCACTCTCACATTCGCTCGCCCACACACTCACCCACTCTGCCAATCACTCACCTACTGACTCACCCGCTCACTCTCCCACACTATCACCCACTCACTCACCCGCTCACTCTCCCACACTCTCACCCGCTCACTCACCCGCTCACTCTCACATTCGCTCGCCCACACACACGCGCACACACACACAGAGATGACAACCGACAACGTAACCGGTGGTCGACCCCCAACAGTTCCGTATGTAGCAGGAGTCTCCGAATTGGCACAGCGATGTCGACGCACCGTTGACGCGTGACCCCCAGCGACGGGAACAAACCCCGCGCGCTCACGCTGTTTTCCTCCTCGCCGGCCGCAGTTCAAGAGCATCAACAAGGGCAAGAAGACCAACATCATCGACTCGATGCTCCGGATGCTGGAGCAGTACTCGAGCAACCTGGAGGACCTCATCCGCGAGCGCACCGAGGAGCTCGAAGTGGAGAAGCAGAAGACGGACAAGCTGCTCACGCAGATGCTGCCCCCGTGAGACGCAAACGCGCGTGGGGATAGGCCGCGTGGGGCGACAATTATGGCGGGGCAACGGCGCACGACACAAATCAGACCCAGCCTCGCTGTGCGTGTGGCCCTCCCAAGAGGCTCGTGCTCCTCGTTGGTGCGCTGCTGCTGCTGCTGCAGCTGCAGCTGCTGCGCTTCTTCACCACAATGTTCGCCGTAGCAGCGGCAGCAGCAGCAGCAGCAGCCGCCGCTCTAGCAGCAGCGCGTGGCGAACGCTCGAAATCAACGCGTGGCCCGACCGTGAAATCCGCCCGAGAGGCAGCCGACGTGCTCCTCAGGCCTCCAGCGCTGACCCTGCCCCCCCCCCCCCCGCCCCCCCCCCCCCCCCCGCGCTAGGTCAGTGGCCGAGGCCTTGAAGACGGGGGCGGCCGTGCGGCCAGAATTCTTCGACGAGGTGACCATCTACTTCAGCGACATCGTCGGCTTCACCACCATCTCGGCGATGAGCGAGCCCATTGAGGTGGTGGACCTCCTCAACGACCTCTACACCCTCTTCGACGCCATCATCGGGGTCTACGACGTCTACAAGGTGAGAAGTTATCGCCGTGACCTCTGCGTTGACCTCCACCTCTCGCCGTGACCTCCGGGTTCACCTCGACGTCTCACTGTGACCTCCGCGTTGACCTCCACCTCCCGCCGTGACCTCCGGGTTCACCTCCATCTCTCGCCGTGACCTCCGGGTTCACCTCCACCTCTCGCCGTGACCTCCGGGTTCACCTCCACCTCTCGCCGTGACCTCCGGGTTCACCTCCACCTCTCGCCGTGACCTCCGGGTTCACCTCCACCTCTCGCCGTGACCTCCGGGTTCACCTTCACCTCTCGCCGTCACCTCCGCGTTCACCTCCACCTCTCGCCGTGACCTCCGGGTTCACCTCCACCTCTCGCCGTGACCTCCGGGTTCACCTCCACCTCTCGCCGTGACCTCCGGGTTCACCTCCACCTCTGTCGGTCGAACGCAGCTCGGCCCCTCGCTGATATTCGTATTCGCTTGGCGTCGAGCTGCCCTCCGCCGACTTTCCAATCCGTTTCGCCGAACCGGCGGCGCCCCCTTGAGCCGATTCGGTGGCGCCCCGAGCACCTTGACCCGGGCGGCGCCGCTCACGGCCGAGCGCCGCTCACGGCCGAGATCCTCTCGGTGGCGGTGCGCAGGTGGAGACCATCGGAGACGCCTACATGGTGGCCTCGGGCCTGCCCAAGCGCAACGGCAAGAGGCACGCGGGCGAGATCTCGGACATGTCGCTCGACATCCTGAGCAGCGTCGGCTCCTTCAGGATGCGCCACCTGCCCGACGTGCCCGTCCGCATCCGCATCGGCCTGCACACGGGTACGCGGCCACGATGGGTACACGATGGTGGGTACGCGATGGGTCGCGTGGGTACAGGATGGGTATCGTGGGTACACGATGGGTACACGATGGGTAGCGTGGGTACACGATGGGTAGCGTGGGTACACGATGGGTAGCGTGGGTACACGATGGGTACACGATGGGTAGACGATGGGTAGACGATGGGCAGCGTGGGTAGACGATGGGCAGCGTGGGTACACGATGGGTAGCGTGGGTACACGATGGGCAGCGTGGGTACACGATGGGTAGCGTGGGTACACGATGGGTAGCGTGGGTACACGATGGGTACACGATGGGTAGACGATGGGTAGACGATGGGCAGCGTGAGTAGACGATGGGCAGCGTGGGTACACGATGGGTAGCGTGGGTACACGATGGGCAGCGTGGGTACACGATGGGTAGCGTGGGTACACGATGGGTAGCGTGGGTACACGATGGGCAGCGTGGGTACACGATGGGTAGCGTGGGTACACGATGGGTAGCGTGGGTACACGATGGGCAGCGTGGGTAGGCGATGGGTACACGATGGGTACACGATGGGTACGCAATGAGTAGCGTGGGTACACGATGGGTAGCGTGGGTACACGATGGGTACACGATGGGTACACGATGGGTAGCGTGCGTGCGTGACTGTGTGCGTGCGAGGGTGCAGGTCCCTGCGTGGCCGGAGTGGTGGGGCTCACGATGCCCCGCTACTGTTTGTTCGGGGACACGGTCAACACGGCGTCGCGCATGGAGTCCACCGGCATGCGTGAGTCCGTCACTTCCGCCGTCACCATCACCGTCAGCGTCGTTTTCATCACGGAAATACTACCATCAACATCGTCAGCACCACCAGCATCGTCGTCAGCGTCATATTCATCACCATGGACGTCATCATTAACATCACATCACCACCACCATAGAATTATCATCACCACCACCATTAGGTGACGTCACCACGGCGCTTGTGCCAGGCTAGGTGCACTTCAAGGCCACGTGAAGTGTCGAACGCCGGCTGGCAGGAGGTCACGGGACAGACCCAGGTGGGGCCATGGGTTGACTGACCGAGATGTCTGTCCGATGGACAAATCTGTCAACCCCTTATCAGTGCCCTACCTTATTACAGACCAATTCAGACCTCATTGGTCACCCCGTGCCCTTTATAAATGTCAGCGTTCATCCTACAAAGTCCCATGACAAGGGAGACACACACATAAATAGATACAATTGTTGTTGTAGTCCGCATTGAAACGGCTGTACGCCCGATGGACCCGACAACTCAATTGCCCTGAACAAGATTACGGGGTAAACCGCGTGGGTTGGCACGGTGTGGATGCACCACCTGTGCCAACTTGCTGTGTTTTAGCGGCCCGGCGCTCCGCTCATCACCACCACCATCATCAGCAACGCTCTTCCCCGCACGCGTGTGCGTGAGAGTTGTCTCTGTCTCTCTCTCTCTGTCTCTCTCTATCTCTGTCTCTCTCTCTCTTTCTATGTTTCTCTGTATCTGTTTTTCTGTATCTCTGTCTCTGTATCTCTCTCTCTGTCTCTCTCTGTCTCTGTCTCTCTCTCTGTCTCTGTCTCTGTCTCTCTTTCTCTATGTTTCTCTATATCTGTCTCTCTCTCTGTCTCTCTGTCTCTCTCTGTCTCTCTGTCTGTCTCTCTCTGTCTCTCTGTATCTCTGTCTCTCTGTCTCTCTCTGTCTCTCTCTCTGTCTCTCTGTCTCTGTCTGTCTCTCTGTCTCTCTCATCTCGCCCCCTGTCGTCGCTGCCCGACCTCAGCGTGCCGCATCCACATCAACCGCTCGACCGTCACGATCCTCGACTCGCTCGACAAGGGCTACAAGTACGAGCTGCGGGGCAACACCGAGCTCAAGGTAACGGCGGCGGCGGCGGCAAAACTTCACTCGGAGCTTTACTCGTGTTGAGGCTGAGTCGATCCTGGGGGGGGGGGGAGAAGGTGCCACCCACCACCCCCCCCCAGAACCGGTTCGGATAATCGTCACTGGTTGTTGTTGTTGTTGGAGGTGGTGGTGGTGGTAGTGTAGCGGGTAGCGCCTACGCTGCGCTACGAATCCGGCGACCCCAGTTCGATTCCCGCTCACGGGAATCGAACTGGGGTCGACCTAGGGGAGGTGGGGAGGTCCTGGGCCTCCCCTAGGTCGACTCGGCCTCAAATGAGTACCCGGTTCGGTGCGTAAAAACATCGCCACTGGGGAGACAAAGGCGGCCGGGCGTGGTGTTGGCCACCCACCCCCTCGTGCGCCGTGCCGGCCTTCATAGGTGCTCGCTAACAGCACTTGCCCCTAAAATCTGCTACAGGCTACATGGGGCATCTTTGGTTTTTGTTGTTGGTGGTGGTGGTGGTGGCTCGGGAGCGGGAATCCAACTCTGGTGGCTCAAGTTCCCTGCTCGTCTTCTGACACCCGAAGATGATCGCGGGGTGCATCTCCGGCACGCGCCGCTTTGCCCGCTGCCCCGTCCAGGGGTGGTTGCCTGCTCTGAACAGCAGCGCTCGTCTCTCTCTCTCTCGCTGGACATTCCACATTTCCATGGCAGGACATCCAATGGACTTTCTATCAAGCGGAGCGTACAAGTCGTCGATTTAAGGGTGGGGGGAGAGGGGGGCGTGTGGACTCCGCTAGCGCACTGAGAACGACTGTTTAAGGTCGCTTTATAGAGCTCAATTATTATTAATTATGAAATGTTGACGCCGGCACCCCGCCCGCCCCCCCCCCCCCCCACACCGGGGTCAGGATTTGACCCCGCGACACCGTGAGCTCGCCAAGGCGAGCTGCCACCACGTGGCCGCTGTGGAGCCGCGCGGCTGTAGGCGCGTGCGTCTGCGCGTGTGATCGCAGGGGAAGGGAGTGGAGCAGACGTACTGGCTGGTTGGGCGACAGGGCCTCAACAAGCCTCTACCCGTACCCCCCGAGATGAAGCCAGGGTAAGGTGTTACCCCGATTCCCAACGCTTTGCTTACAATCGCAATTGCCCAAGCTCTGCAGTCCTCTACAGGGGCGGAGCGGCGGTGTCGCCGTTCGGCGCTCCGCGCTGCGAGACCGGCGACCCGAGTTCGATTCCCGCTCGCGGCCAACGCCGAGTGACGATTATTCTGAACCGGTCCTGGGCGCCTCGCCGAGGTCGACTCAAATGTGTATCTGCCGCGGTGCGTAAACATCGCCACTGGGGAGACAAAGGCGACCGGGCGTGGTGCAGGCCAAACCAACCCCTCGTGTAGCCGTGTCGGCCTTCACAGGTGCTCCGTCGCTAACAGCACTTTGCCCTGAAAATGTGTTAAGGCTATGCGGGGGCTCTTTATCTTTGCTGTGTGCGTGTGCGCGCAGGGATTCAGCGCATGGCATTAATATCGAGGAGATACTCAAGTTCCGGCAGAAAAAGGAAATGAAATGATGAGCAGCGGGACGGACGTGGAGGTGGACACAAATGCCTCGTTCAGCCGGTTCCATCAAAACCCTCCCTCCCTCCCGCCCCTCCCCTCCAGCGTGCGCTTCACTCGAGCGGCGTCCAAGTCACCAGGGCACCGGTTCACGTTTGTCGATGATGCGCGTCGTTTTAAAACTCAGGGCCCACCACCACCCCCTTCACCACCACCTCCTCCACCACCTCCTCCATCGTCGGCGGTGACGCCACGGCCCAGCGGTGTGGGGGGGGGGGGGGGGACGGACGTTCGCAGAAGTTCGCGGTTCGAAACCGGCAGCCCGCCCTAGTTAATACCGCGGCGGTGCGTGACCGCACGTGCGATGAAGGACTCCAAGTGCGGCACTTCTTGGATAAAGTTTTTTTTTATTGTCCTCGACTCAACAAGAACTTCCAGTACCCACCAGCAGCTTGCCTTCCCTCCCCTCTCCTCCCCCCCTCTCATCTCCACCCATCCCCTTCCGTCCCACCAATCCCTCTGCTCCCCTTCTAGCCGCCTCGACCCCCCCCCCCCCCCCCCCCCCCTTCTCTGGCCTCTTTCAAATCTCACCGCCTTCTCTCTTTCAAACTTTCCAACCAATCACCATCGAGCAAGCGATTGCCATGCCGTGCCCCCCCCCCCCCCCCTCCTCGTGGCGGTTATGGTGCATACAAAGACAAAGACCCCCCGTGTAGCCTTCACAGACTGCTGGGGCAAGGGCTGTTAGCGAGCAGCACCTATGAAGGCCGGCGTAGCACACGAGGGGGTGGGTGGCCAGCACCACGTGTGTACCGTACCCATGTCGCCCCCATGCACTTGCAAAGACGCTTATCCAAGGATGTCTCACATCCTGACAATGTGTACGTTGCGTTGAACTTCTTTCGCGCCGTACGTAGCCAATCGGCGGTGCGGGTGGAAGGACAGCAACACAAGAAGGCAGTTCTAAAGAAATACGTTTTCAATCTCAGAATATCTATTTATACTGGAGGAATTCGATGAGCTATAAAGCTCTTTATCATAGATGTCCAGTCGGGGGACGGCTAGCTGCGAATCTTTTAAGGGCCGCTTCGTGACAAGTTATTTATTAAAGACCACCGTTTTGTATTCACACCGCATTGCGGCTCTTAAAATATTGAGTTTGTTACTGAATTCAAAAACAAATTTGGCTCTTCTTGTCATTTTGAAGGCCCGGGCCCTGATCTCGGTGGTTTAAAAGTGCATCACAGCTCCCAGTGGCCTAATATCAGAAAGGAAAGAGCGTTCCAGACGGCCGCAGAAGTACACCTGAACGCGCGCGTGTGATTGCGCTGGCCGTATTGACTGTAACGATAGCGTGAGATGGCGTTAGATAACGCGCTCCTTCCTGTTCCCTGCGATGTCGGCTGTGCGTGGGCTGCTGTCGTGGTCCAAATTTTACCAATGGTTGAAAGAAATGAGCCAGTGGAGGAAAATTCCGCACTCCCACGATGGGGGAGGAGGCGGGGTGGGGGGAGTGGGTATATCCACAGGATGACCCACGGTTGACTTGTCGCATCAAGTGGCAGTCACCTGAACGGAACCAGGAGAGACTGTGGGGGTGAGTTGACCCCAAGGCGTGAGATCAACTCGCGACTTCCCAGCTGCTCGTTGGGCGGCCTCATCACGGCTGGTTCCGCGACCGGATGATTGTGGCATTTGCTGGATGGAGGCATATATAGGGTTGATTGAATCATCAGGGAACTGGACAGAAGGGCCTTCTAGGTAAATTGCGGAGCCGTGGTGGCCACATCTGGCAAAGCGACATCGCCGTTGCGCAAAGTCGTCTGGGTGTTTTATTTTTTTTTCCAAGGTGGCACGCAAACAGTTGCGTCGTGTAGCACGTGGTGGCAGCGCCGGTGGTGGCGATGGCGGTGGTGGCGGCGGTGGTTGTGTGGCAGCGGTAGTGGTGGCATCGGTGGTGGTGGTGGTGGCAGCGGTGGTTGTGTGGTGGTGGCGGTTGTGCGGCTGTGTGGTGAAGTTTCTCGCGAAGGAAATTGCTCAGTCTGCCGGGAAGGTTACGAGGAGATCCCCCACGCAGTTCGCTTGCGCACAAGCGAGTTCGAGCGGACGAGAGAGACGGCGCGTCCCGCCCAATCCTGCCGGTGTTTCCGTCAGTCATTTCTGTATCGCGTCTCTCGCTTGCAGATGTCTTCTAACGCACGTAGCTCCTCTTTCTGTCCCTCGGTGTAAATCCGAGAGTGCGTTTCTCCGCGTGCCACTGGTCTCAAAGATTCATTGCGTGAAATATTTTTTACGAGTAAGCAGTAATAAAAATAACACACACACACACACAACTGCCCTGAAAAATAATAGGAGGCGTTATGTTTTTGGGGAATGTCCCATAAAATGCTCAACTTCCATTTAAGCAATTCGATAGAAGTGTGAAATAAACTATTTAAAACTAAATTATTCTTTTTTTATTTTACCAGGTAAGACCCACTGAGCTAGGTAGCTCTTTTTTCAGAAGCGACCTGGCCACAAATGATAGCTCAACAAAGTGGCTCATCGCGTGGACATTCATAGGAGCCAAATACTCTAAGGGAATGTTTCTAAACGTGGAGGGGGAAAGCCGGAGGACCCGGAGAAAAATCCACACAACCACGGGGAGAGAGACACCGCAAACTTAAAATATACAACAGGCGACTGGGCCGGGATCTGGATCGAACCCACGACCTCTTGTATACTAGGCGAGGTAGTTAACATCTCCTAGCCACCGCGGCGCCCCTAAATGATGCATTTTCTAGAAGACGTTTTCCACCACGGTGGCAATTCAGTCACGGATTTTTAGAGACCACCTCTCAGGCCCAAGGGAAGAGGTTACATGTGCAGGCGTGCAATCGCTTGCTCATGCCACCGCTGGTAGACGTACCATCACTTCGAGGACATTCCCTGTCGACGCACAGTGGTGAACTCGTTAATACCCCTGCCTTGACAGAGGCTCTGGTGGGGAGGGGGCGGGAGGATTTGTAAAACTTGCCCCAATTGGTTGCCTCGCAGGGAGATTAAACCGGCGGCTTCTGGATTGCAAGTCCAGCGTGCCTACCACGACAAAGACAAAGGTCCCTCGTATAGTCTCAAGAGACGTTTTGGGGCAAGTGCTGCTCGCGAGTAGCACCTACGAAGGCCGGCACGGCACACGAGGAGATGGGTGGCCAGCACCACGCCCTTGGCCGCCTTTGTCTCCCTCGTGGCGACTTTTACAAACCGCGCTAGGTGCTCATTTGAGTCCGAGTCGGAGCGGTTCAGATAAAATCGTCACCGGTGTTGGTGGCCGTGAGCCGGGAATGTGGCGGTGCGGTGCTCACGTGGCAGTGCGCGAACCACCGCGCTGTCGCTCCCACGGGAGTGTGCGCTATTGCCACGACGCGCACACACACACACACAGATACACACATAGACACACACACAGACAGACACACAAGACACACACACAGACACACACACACATAGACACACACAGACACATACACAAGACACACAGACACACACACACATAGACACACCGACACACAACAACAACAACCGCCATTCGCCACTAAGTGGCGGTGACGTCACCACGACGCTTGTGCCAGGCCACGTGCACCTTGAGGCCACGCGAGGTGTCGAACGCCCGCTGGCAGGAGGTCACGGGGCAGAACCAGCAGGTGCCACGGGTCGACTGACTTGAGATGAGTGGCTGATGCACCACCTGTGCCCCCTACAGACACACACACACGCAGAGACTCAATTTGCTCTTCCAGAGAACGCCGGCAGGTGACGTTTTGCCGGTGCGGAAGATGCGGCAACAATCTGTGCGCCACCCCACATGGGGAGGGGCGATGGTTTGCGACGTCCGCGCCTCCGATTGTGGCACGGCTGGCTACGTGCGGTGCGAAAGAAATTCGGCGTAGGCTGACGCGACGCGGAGGGGGAATCGCGCGCGTGTCTCTTGTGAAAGGCGGCGATGGTTCGGGGAGAAACTTGAACGGTCTGCGGAGTGGACTTTAAGTTATGATGTACAACCAAAGTGGCCGAAACTTTTTAAACGTAGAGATGATATTTTCAAATGTACCGCTGATTGTTATATATATAAAAACATTAAACAGTGTGTGCGTGTGTGTACATAGAGACGTGTTGTTGTGGTCTGAGTTGTTACGCAATTATCATCTGCACTGATTCCATCTTTATTGGTCTTCATCAGCCATGGTCAATCTACTGCTGGATGAAGGCCTCCCTAAGCCCCCACCCCACCGCCATCTCACGATACTGCGATCCATGCTCTAGGGGGTCACGATGTCAACGAGCAACTGCGAGCACCTGCACAAGTATTTCAGTTTTGATTTAAAGCGTTCGTGACTGCAGGGATTCATATTCTTGGTTCTTTCGGTAAAGTCACGTAGAAGGGAAATTGTATTTTTAATTTAAAGCTTTCGTGACTGCAGTAATTCATATTCTTAGCTCTTTCGGTAAAGTCACGTTGAAGGGAAACAATAAAATGATAATAATATATATATAAAACAATAAAAATTCTCACGACGTTTCGACCATAACACAAACGGTCGTCATCAGGTGTGTCGGTCCGCATGACTTATTTTTTAAAAAAATTAATGCAAACCGACACACCTGATGACGACCGTTTGTGTTATGGTTGAAACGTCGTGAGAATTTTTATTGTTTTATATATATTTTATTATTTTATTGTTTCCCTTCAACGTGATTTTACCGAAAGAGCTAAGAATATGGAAATTGTATTGTTTTATATTTTTAATATTTTATTGTTTCCCTTCTACGTGACTTTACCGAAAGAACCAAGAATAAGTATTTTAGTGTCAAACTAAAAAAAACTGCCCATAGAGAGGACCGCAGACCTTGGGCAATTGTCGGTAGAGCCGGTGGCTCACCCTCCTCCTGGAGTCTCTCTGCCTCGCTCCCTCTCTCTCTCTTTGAGAGCAAAGCGAATGCGATCCAGGCGGCATCGTGTTTCAAGTGAAGAGGAGGCTTGGGCTGCTCAAGCAAGGGATTTAATGTCGACACCAACTCGCAGCAACTCTTCCCACTCGCAATCCGATGCCAACCACGAACTCTCCCACTCCGTCCACTTTTATAGCCCCCCCCCCCCTTTCCAATCCTCCTCCGTAATCCTTCTCCGCAATCCTCCTCCGCAATCCTCCTCCGCAATCCTCCTCCGCAATCCTCTGCAATCCTCCTCCGCAATCCTCTGCAACTATTCTCCGCAATCATTCTCCGCAATCCTCGGCACCAATGCGATCAGAGCGTCCTCCAATCGACACGTCGGACTGCGTGTCGCGCGCGGCAGTGCTCTCGTGACCCCTTGACCCTTAACCCGTGGCTGTGTCGGTGCTCGCGTGCGGTGATGACCCCGAACATCCTCGACGCAACAAACGAACAAACAAAAAACCCGATCACGACCACGAGAACGCCGCGTGTGCTCCGGGCAACGGTGAAGACGCTCCGGCAAGGCAGACGCCTCGGTGTGCGCCGACGAAGAGTTGGACAAGTGGAGCGGCCGCAGCGAATGGACCACGATAGCTTTTGGTGCCAGATCTCGTCATTAGGAGCAATGAGGCAGCAGTCACGTGGGCTCGCCGCGGGCATCCTTGGCTGCTGGGCCATCGAACAGAGACGGCTGTCAACGCATCGCCGTCGTCGCGCGGAGCTTCCAGACTGCGCTTTCTGCGGCCGTCTGGAACGCTCCTCCTTCCCGTTACATTAGGGTGCCACTGGGAGCTGTGATGCACTTTTAAATGGTCTCGATTGAAAACTCATTTGTTTAGAAGTGCTTCCCGTTGTGTTCAGTTTGTTGTCCTTGACCCGCAAAACTTCCAATTAGCGCGGTTGGCTACGTACGGTGCAAAATAAGTTCAACGTACGTACATGCATAGACTCACACAGAGACCCATAGACTCACACAGAGACCCATAGACTCACACAGAGACCCATAGACTCACACAGAGACCCATAGACTCACACAGAGACCCATAGACTCACACAGAGACCCATAGACTCACACAGAAACCCATAGACTCACACAGAGACCCATAGACTCACACAGAAACCCATAGACTCACACAGAAACCCATAGACTCACACAGAGACCCACAGACTCACACAGAGACCCATAGACTCACACAGAGACCCATAGACTCACACAGAGACCCATAGACTCACACAGAAACCCATAGACTCACACAGAAACCCATAGACTCACACAGAAACCCATAGACTCACACAGAAACCTATAGACTCACACAGAAACCCATATACTCACACAGAGACCCACAGACTCACACAGAAACCCATAGACTCACACAGAGACCCGTAGACTCACACAGAGACCCATAGACTCACACAGAGACCCATAGACTCACACAGAGACCCACAGACTCACACAGAAACCCATAGACTCACACAGAGACCCATAGACTCACACAGAAACCCATAGACTCACACAGAAACCCATAGACTCACACAGAGACCCACAGACTCACACAGAGACCCATAGACTCACACAGAGACCCATATACTCACACAGAGACCCACAGACTCACACAGAAACCCATAGACTCACACAGAAACCCATAGACTCACACAGAGACCCATAGACTCACACAGAGACCCATAGACTCACACAGAGACCCATAGACTCACACAGAGACCCACAGACTCACACAGAGACCCATAGACTCACACAGAGACCCATATACTCACACAGAGACCCACAGACTCACACAGAAACCCATAGACTCACACAGAAACCCATAGACTCACACAGAAACCCATAGACTCACACAGAGACCCATAGACTCACACAGAGACCCATAGACTCACACAGAGACCCGTAGACTCAGGGGCAGTCTAGGGGGGGGGGTAGTCTGGGGGGGGGGATCAGGCATTTGTGACGCCGCGTGACGATGGGGGGGGGGGTCAAAAATCGTCCAAAATTGCGTGACGTCATTTATGGACGGCCCCTCACACTTCCCCCACACCTCCAATTAGCGCTGTTGGCTACGTACGGTGCGAACGAAGTTGAACGAAGAAACAGCGGCTGCTGCTGCTCTCCTCCTGACCCCGAGAGACAGCACAGGTCAAAGGTTACAGAGATGCTGCTGCTGCTACTGTTGTTGTGATGCTGGAAACAGCAGACGGCAGAGTTGAGCTGTATCGATGATGATGCTACTGCTCTTATGATCACAGAGACAGCAAATGGCAGAGTTGAACTAATCAATGATGCTGCTACTATACTCTTTGGTTCTATTGGGTAAAGTCACGTAGGTAAAAAATTAAATATCAAAAATCACGACGTTTCGGCCACAACACAAGCGGCCTTCATCAGGTGAAGGGACGAGACTGTCTGGAGGACAGCGCTGGAGTGAAAAAAGCCACGCTCAGATCACGACCTTTAAGCTGTGTGAGAAGAAACAAAGCGCCTTGACAAAGGAATTAGCATATAATTTAGCATTGAAATGGCTGAGTGATTAGCTTGTGACTGGTCACAGAAATGGCTATGTT